ATGTAGATTTGTAAATTTTCTTATAAGCAAGAAACATCTCTGCTTTCGGAAAAAAATTTAAATTGGAATCGTTTTCAAAATATATCACTGTGTTAACTGTAGCTACAAAACTGAAAGAGAGAAATAAGGGCGACATATATTATACAGAGTGAACAAAATAATGCGGTTCTTTAAAAAGATAAAAAAAATGTTTTAAGAGGAATTTACTTCATCTACATAAGTATATTTGTATTAGAAAATGACGTAATCGGTTTTCTAAATCTACATTACTACAGATCTGTACAATTATTGTATATTGGAATCTTATTTATGAAACCAAATTGAAATTGTCAAGAGAACTGAACTTGTGAAACAGTAACTTACTTTTAAAGAAGAACTGAAATTGACAATAAAAATTGAACTTGTGAAACAGTATATAACATTTAAAGGAGTACTTAAATTGTCAATTAAAATTAACCATTGAACTTGTGCAACGGTATTGACCGTACGAAATAATATTGAACTTAAGAGACAGCGAGGAACGTTTGAATTTGTATTGAGCTTGCCAATCCAAATTGAACATGTGAAACAGTATTGAACTCGCGAAAAAATATTGAACTCGTGAAAAAGTATTGAACTCGCAAAACAGCATTGAACTTGTGAACCAGAATTCAACATCTGAAACCATATTGAACGTTTAAAATGGTATTTAACGTGTAAAGGGGGTTGTACTTGTAAAATCGAAATGAACTGCTGAAGCAACACTGAGCTAATGAAGCCGAACGAAAATAATGAATCAGTTCTCAGTTTGTCAAATAATTTTTAATAAGGAAAACAAAACTATATTTGGTTTGAATTTTGTGAAAAAGAACTACGCACTTGATTAAAAAGTTGAAAGAGAAATTCACCCGAAAAAAATTTTTTTGACACAGATATTATTTGATCTGTTTACAGGAGTTCTTTTTCTGTCTCATATTAAATCAAATCGAAACTGTGGTACGGAACTGTAAAATAAAAAATAAATAAATAGAGTTTCACTTGAAAAAAATGGATCTGATATACATATGTAGATATCTTAAGAACTGATTACAAAAGTTTTTTTTTGTCGTCACGAAATCAAATTGAACATGTGGAACAGAAGTGTAATACTGAATATTAATGAATCTAAGAATTGTAAGTGTAAGGGACAAAACCGCAATAATGAAATTGAACTGACTTTATAGTAAGATATTGAATCTTCTCAAATAAAAATAGATTTTGTTTGATGTTAAATATAAAATTAAAAATTCACTTAAAACTTCCGAATTGTCACAAATGTCTCCAAAAATTTTAAAACTTAGAAAAGATATTGCGAAAAAGGCTCAAATATACATATAAAAATCTTGCAGCGTTGTTTTGTGTATATCTAAGTAGTGTTTTTGAGTTGTTTAATTTTCTAATCAACTTTTCATTATTTTATATATTTAGATTTCCATCACATTCTATTATAGTCTGTTTCCCCTTTTTCTTCCCCAAAATACTTTGTTGCTCGTTTTAGCATTTTCAGTTTTTGCTTTGTTAACATTTTCGTTTCTACACTACGTAGTTTCTCTTTTTTTCTACTTCGTCTACTGTCTGGTCTATGGGATTCTTATTGCGCCATCTCTAGCGTCTCGATGATTGTAATTTACCGTCAAAAGCGTGTTGCATGATTGCGATCCTTTGTAATGAGCACATCCTCACCGTTCATTTGATGATGCACTTCCTCTGGTACTGTTTTCAGCATGCCCGGACTGGAGTTCTGTTGTGAGAAGAATTAAGATAAATAAGGGGAAAATAGTAATAAAATTTGGATGGCAGATTATATAGAATTTAGTGACTAATATATTTGAGTTAGGAGAATTTGGTCAGTTACTTAAATATCATATATAGATAACAGTAGTAACAGTAGTTAGTATTCTGTTTTCACAAAGGACTGTAGTATGTAGTCGTACAAGTGCGATCCAAAGCTTGAGTATCCATAGAACTTAAACTATACTAAGTCAGTTTTGAAATCAGAAAATTGTTATTTAATGACTGATAATAAAAATAATCAACTAGCCTTAAGTTATGACCCTAGTCCGATCTAATTGCAAAAGGTTCAGAGATCTGAAGAGTTTTTCTGCCCCTTTAAACAAACTAAACCAGACCTGATTAAATGCAAAAACACCTGAGCACACTAAATGCATAAAGTCCGAGGACAAGCTGAAAGAGTTCAGAGCTGTCCAGGCTTGTTCAGACCACAACCTAAGACAAGCTAGCAGAGTTCAGAGTTGTCCAACTATGATTTACGTTCAAGGCAAATATTCGCAAAAAAATTCTGGAGCTCGAAATTGTATTCAGAATTTTTATTCTGTACTTACAATTAGTTCCCCAGTCGTGTCTCAACGATTAAGAGATTATTTCATCTCCTTTAATCAATATAAATGCAAAAGGTCCAGACCATAGCCGAGGACGCTTTAGCAGAGGATAGTGCTGTTCATCCAGGATCACAGTTACACAATTATTCACTGCTTGTTCCTGGAACTCGAGACTTCGGCTTGAGATTTTGAAACTTTATTTACAGTCCTTCGATGGGTTCCCAATGATCATTAGCGAGCTTTTTATTTTATTTAAAAATTTTCTCTATGTTTTGTAGTTGGAAAGATGGAGAATTATTGGTCTTCTCTAACAACTTTCCTATCGAATATAGAAACCCGTTGGAAAAGTGTTCTGAGTTAGTTTCTTAAGAACACAAAATACTTCAGGCGTCACTATGCACCTTTTTGACCTCCTCTCTGATCAATTCCGAGCCCTTCCAACTGTCAAATCTCAACGTTAGCGCATAAGCTCTCCATTTTTTCTAATCAAATTTATGAACTGTAAATAACGGTCTCTAAGTAATTTTTATTAAAAACGCAACTTCCTTTGACCCAATTCAAGAAGCGTACATCCTTTGTGCCCTAACGAAAGCTTTGTTCGAATTGCGCTGCGCTAAAATGCACTAAAAATTTATGAAAAACAAATTCGCGCTTTTGTCAACGCCATACTTTGGCTCTGCACAACAACAAAGGCAAAAACAACAAGAACGAGTACCACTCGTACTGCCACCCCGATCAGGCACCAAAGTGGCAGCAACACTAACAATTTGATTGCGAAAAGCGCTAACAATGGTAGTTACAATATAAGTACTAGTAATGGTTGTAATTTCGAAAGTACACCCCCCGAGCACTGCACACACACACACATACTACTACACATAAATACACACGCACAACATGGCGATAAGCTTGGTCATTATTATTAGTTTGTATTTATTTCTATTCAACTTTTGTGGCAGCTTGAAAGGGTACTAGAAAAAAGTGAGTAAGCGCGAGCTAAATTTGTGTGGAAGCGAAAATAAGAGATGCTAAACGCGTTCAAATATCACAAACTCTGCCGAATATATAAGGCTTTATGTCAAACCAACGACGGGAAGCATGTTTATCGTTATATAGAGGTTAGCAGAAGCTGTGGACAGATGTCAGCCACATTCGATTTGAAGACACAATATATTTAAAGCTACCTGAAAACATTCGCCTCATATTTAGCTTAGAAGCACTTAGTAGTATGCCAATTGCTGTGACTAAACTTAATTAAGATATCTGGCAAATGTACCGAGTTGAAAGGTATTTAATTCACCGAAGTGTGGGTATACTCTTAAAAAGTGTATCGAGAAAAATATATATCTGGCATTAATCAACCGAAAGTTAGAAACTCCTCCCAAACGGTGTATGAGAGCTAACTGAATAGAAACGTTGATTTCACTTATATTTAGTCTAAAATACCACTATACTATAACAAACGTTTTGATATATTTTCAATAAGATAACTCGTATACAGACCAAGATATGTGGTAAAACGTCAACCGGAAGTACGGAGATCTACATATGAGTTATATGCGAACCAGGGGAAGATATATAGTCGATTTCACTAATATTTTTTCATTTTCCAATTTTATTTGGAATTCTTTACTGAACTTTATGAAACTATTTAGAGCATAAAGAAGAAATTTAGCAAGCTTCGTCGAGGTATCTAAATTTTTCATATTTCGTTGAAAAGGCTTTCCACGAACAATGCTCTTCTAAGGATTCCGAATATTTTATGCTATATATTTTCTACTAAACTCGTCTACTCTCTGCGCAAAATTTTGTGGGTTTAAGAGAAAAAAAAGAACAACAGCAAAGCCACAACTTAATGTGACCATTTTTACGTAAACTAAACACCAAATTTCACCAGCGACTGCATTCGAAAGTTCTTAATAACCTGCCAGGCGAAATATGAAAAAGCGCATGGCAATCACGAAAGTGCAACGCTGTGTTTTGTGCGCCCGTTGTTCTTTTTTTTCTGTTTTTGTTGCACCGACAAACTTTCCAGTGGCGCTCAAAAAGTGCTCGGCCACTCGCATAATGCTCGCCTCATTTATTTGCTAAAGTTGCAACAACAAAAACAAAAACATTATAACTACTACATTACATATTTTTTTCAACATTGTTATTTTTGTTATCTATTTGCTAACTGTATTTTTTTGCTTTTTTGTTTGGATTCTACGCAAATGTTTATGCTGCTGATTGTTGTTGCCCACATTGTTGTTGATTTTGCAAAAATTGCAATTTTCGTTTCTGCTCTATTTTACTTCGGCTTTTGTTTTTGCTCATTGGTTGTACTTTCTGCGGTTTACCGTTAACGGTATTGTTTTTGTTACGCTCATATAACTTCTGCCCACCAACGCTCTCCAAAGGGCAAACATTTTCCAACTGACATTTGCCACTTTTTGCATTTGTTTTTGCTTTTTCAGTGCGCTCTCACTTTATGTCACTTTTACTTCCACTTTCATTGGCATTTTTATAAAGTTCAGTGTTTTTGTTTTTGTTATTGTTGTTGTTATATTACTTTTTGCTTTGGCATGTCGTTTAGTTGTTATTACAGTTACCGCTGTTTTTGAGGCGTAGCCTGTTGACATTGCTAAATGAAATTGTTTTTCACTACGAATTTGAATTCAAATTGTTTTTGTTGTATTTCATTTATTTGCAATAACTCAATTTTTTTTTGCTTCCGAATATTTTCTTGCTTATAAAAGATTGTAAATTGAATTGATAAAAGTAGTTAACTAATGTGCTTCTGTAGATAGATAGAAATTTTGTTATGGCAGTCCTATTTCGGTGACCAAAAATGTTTGCAAAATTATTTTGGAGATCAAAAGAGACGAAAGTCCCGCAAGAATGAGAGAAAAGTTGAGGGCTGTCTTTTCGATGCCTCACATCTTTCACAAAGATATTGTGGGTAACAAGAAAGTCTAAAGTCCCATATAAATGATAGAAAAGACTCCGCTACTGGTATCCAGAACATTTTGTAGAAGAGAGCACGCTCTCATTTTGCGGAATAGAGATAATAACGAAAGAAATCTAAACAAATAGAAATCTGTGGTCCCAAAAACCTGCTAGGTGGAATAAATTTTAGGTCCCAGTATGAAGCTGAGGCATTCAGACGAAGTTTAATGGACTAAAGAATGCCAATGCTCCTGAAATCTATGATAAATGCGGCACACAATTCAAACTACTGTTACTCACTAAACTGTTCTACAGAAAAGGAGCTTCTACACGACCCATCTAATCATCCCATAACTACCACAGAAATAGTCTCCTTTGTATTACTTATAAAGAATTAGATTGTATTTTTTAACCAATATTCCGCGTTAATTTCAGACAAAGAGTTGTCAAGATACGGTGACTGAAAGTGGAGATCACAGACTGAAGTCAAAATTTTACCGTGCACATTGTAGGTCAGTTAGGAGACCAAAAATATAACGTTTATCAGCATTTCAGGAATAAGGAAAGTTGTAAAGTTTATGTTAGTTTTCTCAGGTATTTCTCAAGCTTTTATCAAGAAAAAGAATTTTTGGGGACATCCACAAATATCTTCGTTAGGATACCCAATTCTCACTGCACCAAACATTAGAAAAAAGTTAATGATATTGTTTTGGACCAAATTATAAAGGTTGCTCCTGTTTCAGAAACAATTTTTAGTTATTTATGTCAAAAATGAATAGTAGACTCTGCTCCTTTCTCAATATAAAGCTGGAAGCGATACTACTTCGCCTAAAAAATCTTTTTAATAACGCTGCTTTTGTAGTTTTATGTCAAAAGAGTCTCGCTTCTTTCAGTTTAATCGGTAAGCTCACAAGCTTAGCTTTTGATAGCGATCTTTATATGGATATTATTTTAATAATTGCCTCCACCGATACATACCACATCTCCATAACCGCCCACTGACATACCGTTGCCACCCGTTGGTGGTGATTGTGGCTGCTGATGTTGCTGCTGTTGCTTTTGCGCTGCACATATAAGTGACGCAGCCGCCGCTGCCGAATGTGGCGGCATACTCATACACACGAGTCCCCCACCAGCGGTGACTGTCTGCAGCAGGCCATTGCTGCTCACCGGCACTGCAACATTTGGTGGCAGCGACTGCGATTGCGCAGCGCCGATCACTTTGTGTGTGAATAATGGCGGTGGCGGGGTAAAGGTGGCCAACTGCGAGGGATGTGACATGGTGACACCGGTTATGGTGGTTTGACCACCAAACATGGGACTCGTCGAGTACATCGGATGATGAGCCAAATCGATCTATGAAAATAAGGTAGAAAAAGAGAAGAAAGGAAAGAGAAGACAAGTTGATGGTTGAATGAAATATGTATATTTTACAGATGTGTGTTGTTGTTTTATTAGTGTTAGTATGTTATGCAATCATTAGTTCAGTCGGTTGTGTGATAAGATGTGTACGATGCGGCAACAACATTTATGGCAGTGTGTGGCTTACGTGCGGATGAATTCTTGCGTTAAAGATTGCGTAAAGCAATTTATATTAATGTTTGTATGTATGTTTACAGTTATTTCTTATATGTAATTAGATATTATGCAAAGTGAATTAAAACGATTTTATGAAATATGTTCCGAAGCTAAATGGAAATGCTTTAGAAGAGGTCAAAAACTGGACCAACTGAAGTGCATGAGATTTTATTTACTACTAAATTAACTGAAAAAGAATCTTAAAGAGACGAAGCTTTAATCTAAATAAATAAGCTTAATATTAACTGTAGTGAACAAGGGGTAAGTGTTAAAGGGTTCTCAAAAAGGGTATTCTTATCGACCTTCTTGCGAGACAAAGCTGCTATATTAAGTAAGTCGGTCTTCAGATTATTATTCGAATATTATTTCGAAAATCCAGTATCCAATAAGTAGAAAAGATGAGAAGTTCAAGACTGTTTTATCCAAAATTTATATGTTTGGTACTTAATACCCATCGATTTAATAGAATTCTCAACTATCTAAAACTCTCTAAGAGTTTTCTGGAAGCCCAGTCACTCACTGTAGCTTCTATAAAAATATTCCAAAAACTTAAATCATTACTAGTAATTTTTTTGGGTGAGTGTCGGTTGCTAAGCAAAGTGTGCAGTCTAAAGTTGTTGGAAAAAGTGGCTCATCGTACAAGTTTCACGCCACCTCCGGTTGGGTTAAGCGTCTACTGAGAAGGTTTTCTAAGTTACAGAGGTACGCGCAGATTCAACATGGTCAGCTAAGAGGCGACTGTTCTGAGAATAAACTTGCCTGCAGCTATCCAGCTTTAATAACAACAAAACGAGCATTGGCTTGAGGTTAGCTTAAAACTAATCTCAAACTCTGATTCGAAGTAAGTAATATATGTGAGTTGTAATTACATTTCTATGTGTTTGTGTTGGTTTACTTCCATAACAATGCTTTCTGCAAAGCAATTTCATTTAAGCTAATTGAATGTACATGAATTGTTTACACAAGTTTTCGGTCAAAGTAATCATGCAATGTTTCACTTGTTAACTACATTTAAAATAAACAAATACAGTGTGTAAAGATGTGTGTTTATATAGACTGTGTAGGTGCATGTGAAATGTTGTTTACTTCTGTCCAAACGAAAATTATGTTTTTACTCTAATAACATGTTATATACATATACACATAGTAGTTATAATTAAGATTAAAGTTTCTCATTTTCAACTCGAAAATTTTGTGTGCGCATGTGAGCAAAGCCTTCTTTGTAATAAATACGAGTATGTAGCAATGTGGACATCATGTCTTGAGATATATAATTAGATTAGATTATATATGCTATTTATGCAGAAAATTAATTGAATATATCATTTAAGTATGTACATAAGCTTTAATTAATGCTGAAGAGCTTATGAAAATCTGATAATAAATATTATTTCAAAAACTACTGAAATATATTTGCATTGTGTGAAAATTTAAGAAAATGTATGCTGTATATTTTGTGCAAGATTATTTGAGATTAACTTGGCTGCACGAGAGTTATAATACCCTTCACAGTTGAATTTTTATATCATAAAAGGGTATAAAAAGATATTTATTTTGATTTTGATGTGTTGGTTTCTATGGCAGCTGTATGCTATGATGATTCGATCTGAACAATATATTCGTGTATTGTAGCGGTACTCTTCAGAATAATCTGTGCCAAAAAAACGTGAAGATACCTTAACAAACAAAAAAGTTTTCCATACAAGGACTTGAGTTGGACCGGCCAGTTTGTATGGCAGCTATATGGTATAGTTGGGCGATATCGGCGGTTACGACATATAAGCTTATTAGTGAGAAAAATACGTATGCATAATTTCAGTTCAATATCTCAAAAACTGAGGCACTAGACGGAAAGACGTACGGATGTGACGGACATTACTAAGTCGACTCAGCTCGTCACGCTGAATCATTTATATATATTCTTTATTGTGTCTCCGACGTTACTTCAGGGTGTTATAAACATCGTGGTATACTTGACTCCTATACACGGTATAAAATATGTCTTCTTTTTATACCTTAGAAGTCATGAGTATACTTAGAAGTTACTAAGCGTACCTACTCATATCTATAGATCTCCGTCGAAATTTATGGTAATTTTTACAAGAATGTCCACTCCATTTTCTTTATTCAAATGTTAAAAATCTAAGTCGTTCATGTAAACTCTGTACAGTAACTGTTCTACAAATGTATCCGACGAATGTGTTTCTATCTGCTTTCTCTATTTCTCTCTAATTTTTTCTAACTCTTTCGCTCTTTTTGTCTCCGTTTATCTGTATCTCTTCGTCTTTCTCTCTCTCTCTCGCTCTCTATCTGTCTCTTTCTACCTGACTCTTTAAATCTCTTCTCTTTCTCTCTCTCTAAATTGCTTTCATTCTTTCTGTCTCTCTTTCTCTATCTCTGCTTCTCATCAAATCTTGTTCCTATGTTAGTCTAGTTTATTCACACAACTTTCGGGTGCTTTTATTTATCTTACTAAAGCCATGGACTTTCGCCATTCTGACCTCAGACTCATCAATTATAAACTTTCATACAAGAAAGTATTTCAAATAAAGTAGCCAAAGGCTAACCCAGCATATATGAATATAATCTAAGATTTTGCTGGAGCTCAACTTTAATCCGATAAAAGTTTGTTTAACTCACTTAATTTATTTCGGAGTGTTACGTTTAAACATACCACGGTGTCACATGATTTTTATTTACAGATTTGTTATTATAGCAACAAATTTGTTTTTGTATTACAGTTATACAGTTAATCACACATTTCACCAACCCTTAAGCAGCTTTACTAAACACCTGTATACTAACTTCTACGTAGCCATGCAACCAGGCGAAAACAGTTGCAAATAAACAGAAAAAAGCTCAAGCTTTGGTAATAAAACTCAAGTGGTTTCAAATGTACCGCTAATCTTTTGTTTGTTCAACATGGGATTTTGCCACAGTTTTGAGGTGAAAGAAAATTATTTACAAATCTTTGCAAAATTACCCACATTATGAGGTACGAAAATCTACCACCACAACAACAATAATACAAATAGCAATAACAATAACCACAAAGAGATTACCGCATACATGTACTCCATGAATATGCGAAGTGCATTATGCCGAAAATAAATTGCAAACAACTGTACTTGTAGGAGTACAGGTACCAAATGTTAAGGGAGTTAAAAATGTATGGGAAAAGGCTTAAGTCAGATGGTGACAAATTTTTTTTTATACCCAACGCATTGCATAAAATGGGAAAGGGTGATGTTCGAAAACTCGATCAAAGAATGCTATTTTGACTGCGAGAATAATAGTTTTGTAGCTCGTTTGAAATATATTAGATTATGCAAAGATTATATATACATTTATAGATATTTCATGTAATTTTTGGTCTAACTTTTGATGGTGATCACATTTGGGCTGTAGTAGGACCATATGGATTTCAACAAGAGCTCTTTTCATTGATGTGAGCTTCTGTTGACAGGTCTAGCACTGGTTGTAATGCAAGCTTAATTCCAGTACAATCCTGCGTCTGAATATAAACTACACCTTTTTGTGGAATGAATGTCAGAGTATAGAGTGTAAATATTCACCAACATGTATGGTATATTACAATATGTGAGCAATATTGCCCTATTCAAATGTTTTTTTGTAGATTTGTGTGCTGAAAGGTTTTTGTATTATAATTACAATATATTTTAATAGATCTACAGCTTTTCTGAGCCTGGCTGCTATATTTTCGGAATCGCCGATATCGGACTACTATAGTATACAGCTACCATACAAACTAACCAATCCAACTGAAGTGCTCGTAAGGAAAACTTGTTTATTTGACAACATATCCTTACGATCCAACAAATTGTTTAGAACGGACTACTATAGGATATAACTACCATACAAACTGATCGATCAAAATCAAGAAAAGGTTCTCTTTATACGCTTTCATGCTATAAAAAATGCACCTGTGAAGCGTATTTTAACTTCGGTGCAGCCGAAGAGGCATCTTGAGATATTTTTTAACTTCATTTTATTCTCATTGCCACTCATCTTTCTACTTGAGGATGTGTTAAATGATATTAATTTTTTCTATATGTAATTACATCTTCTGCGGATAGTCTATCATGATGTCTTCTAGATCTATGCTAATCTGTAATAATAAAAATTATAGCTTTATATACCAAAATTGGCACTATATGCATGGTGCGCTAGGTATAAGTGTGTGCAATAAGTACCGCTCAACTGCTGCACTGTACCGAAGTGTAGGAAAGTTAATCGATTTTTTTTTAGCAAATATTTGTATTTTCAGTAGGTGTGGCGTGCTACACTTCGCATTGTTTTACTATAATCGCCATGTGTTGGTGTGTGTGTGTGTTACATATATGTATGTCTATCTGTGCGAAATGTAATATGCTTGTTGAACAATAAAACTCAGATTTCGGAATTCTATTGCATTTGTAGTGTGATAAAAACGCTTTATTAAACCGAGCTGAGTAGAAAATAAAAACTACACTAATAACAACAACAACTGCAATAAGATTTAAATCATAATAGCAGTTGCAGGCCAAATGAAGCGGTATACACGCACACTCAAACAGAGGAAAATCCATTATATGCGTTGGTTTGTTCGCAGAGCTGTAGCTAGTGGCTATATTTTCATTTGTATGTACCGCATACAGTTATGCGTGCAGGTGTGTGCATCTGTGGCGGTGGTAGTGCGCCGTTGCGATGTTAGTCGAAGCGACAGGACATGGCAGGACAACTGAAATTGCAATCTAACTTGCTAAGCAACACCATTGTGTACTCATATTACAACAATAAAACAACAACAACTGAAACAACAACGAACAACCAAACAAGCATTATATGCACACAATACCGTTAGGCGAAACAAATGAAAAACAAGCAAGCAAAAGTGCAATGCCAAGTCGCTCCTTGTTTGTATGTGTGTGTGGTGATATTGTGCGAATAACGGGAAACTTTTGCAACACGCCGACGCTTCACGTTACCCGCAATCAGACCGCAGCAACCAGGACAAACGGGCAAACAGCTAAGCTCAGCGCAGGACAGCGCCAATGCCAGTCTTTTGTGTATATGTACATATGTATGTATTAGGGTGTACGTTATTGTCCAACTTGATTTCTATACTGTAGTTTTAGTTATTGCTCTAATTAAAATTATCCAATGTAAAAAAGTGCTTTATTTTCAATTTAAACCGCGTCTAAGTCATTTTACTGTTCCCATGTAAATAACGAGGCATTTTTTGATAATTTGCATTATACAAGTAAACTTATAACCTTGAAAAAGAAATATTCTATTACAAAATTTTTCACTCTACAAAAAGCTGTTTATGATTTTTTCCATGAAATCAGTTCTTTAATAGTTATACGCAGTTAAAGGCATGTATCAGGCATAATGAGCACACAGTACACCATGTCGTATGAGCAACAGGAATATTACATAAAAGGCGCATATATGCTCATATTGTTTGCTGCATGCCTTTAACTGAATATAACTTTTAAAGCAATATTTTTAACAAAAAAGTTATTGAGAGCTTTTTGTACAGTGAAATAGTGAACACCCTAATATATATGTATATGTGTGTATGAGTATGAGCGTGTGCCCAGCTACTGGCAACTTTCGGATACGGCAGGGATCGAGTATAGGAAACTACTCGTCGTGTTTGTAGTTGCAAGTATAATAAAAACAAAAACAACAATAAAAAAGCAAACACGAACACAAATGCACGCAAATAAAAGGCAGCAAGCGGTTGCAATTGTGCGCACAACAAAAATGTGTGCTATTATTATTACGATTATTGTTGTTGTTGTTGCTGGCATTATACCCGCTGTTCTTTACGTGATGACTTTCAAACGACACACTTTTTTGTTGCTTTTCCTGCTTATATGCACTCCTGCTACACTACCAACGCTCCTTTATTGCTATTTATGCCTTTCAATGCGCGCTTGTGCGTTTGTGTGTGTGCATTTGTAATGCAATAGATAATAATAAATTTTTAGCTTAAGGGCTTAAACTTTCAAATGCCATGTTTGGTAAATAAATAAGTTCTACGCCGACGCTCTTTCGGCCTTGCCTACTGTGGCTGGAGTAGCACAACTGATCAAGTCAATTGCCCACCGCTGAGCCACTCGATGCGCGTGAGTGTTTGTTGGTGTTGAAGGATTAAGTGGTTTTACTAGTCATATATACACATATATAATAAAATATTCGGCGTGTGCAGAACGGTATGTCATTTAGAGCTAATACTTCTGATAAATTGTAAATTAAATCGGATCTAGTGCTAGATAATGCTGAAGTCAAACTTTAGTATGCGAATAGATTTAATTTCAGCTAAAAAGATGATTTACGTTGTGGACATTGCTAAACGTTGCCTACATTTAGGCTGTGTTACTCAGATATTAGCAAAGTCGCACACCTTTAATTGCAGTAATGAGCTGCTACACATAACTGCTTAAATTTTAACCTAAAAACATGTCATTCGAAAATACAAACAAGAACAATTTTTTACTTTGACCGAGGCTACAATACCCTCAAAAAAAGCGTTATTTATAGCAAAAGGGTTTAAAAATACTTTTAAATACATTTTTAATGGATTGAATTATATTTGAAGAACTTAAGAAAATGTCCGACTTTAGGCAGTTTAATGACTGACGCAGAAACGGCGCGAAGGTCCCTCATTAGTAAAATAATCGACAATATGAAAATATCTTCAAAAGATTTTAGTTTGTCAGGCAAATAAAATGCGAAACTAGAAAAAAAATTATATTTGAACATTTTTCGACCATTAACGAGTTTAAAAAGAGTCTTATAGCTGTTTTATATATTTATAAAAAAAAAATGTGTACAGATTATTATTAAAAGTCATTAGATTGGATTATAAGGAAAGGTCATTAGTATACCTTATGCTTAATTTTTAGGTTAAGTTTCCAAAAATGAGTTGAACTCGTAACTTTTTGCTAGTCCTCTAAGAACGCTATGGTTAAATATATAAGATAAGGCACTTTACCTTCTCTTAAAATTGATCTATTTTACTATTTGAACTCTATAGGTTGTCTGACTTTTATTTTGAAAGACAGGCCCAAGTCAATTCAAAGCCGTAACCTTTTTTTGAGCTACGACTACTAGAGACCCTTATATAATAATATTTTTAGAAGAGCTTACATTTTACCTTTATTCAACACTTTAACTCCTGTACTAAATTTAATTAGCTAAAAGGTTTATGAACAAGTGAAACAGCAACAGCTGCCTAAAGGTATGCTATTATTCTTAAGTATTGATAATACCTTTTAAAAATTATTTAATGAATCTAGCATTATTTTGCTAACACGTTTTTCAAGAGCTTTCAACTTATCCACAATCGCAGTAAGTAATACCTAGCATAGTGACTATAAATCTCTATTAGATATAAATTTCGCAATCACTTGTTTTCCCGCTTGGGTACATGCCGCTTTTCTACTGCTACTCACTCACCATTATTGAAAACGTAATAAATTGCTGTTAAAGTGGAATGGAATACAACGAGTTTATACGGAAATGAAGATAAATTATAGGGGTACGTGTTTAGTGGCTGATCTCTCTTGCTCTCACCCGCTATATATCTTTCATTCACCAGTCGCCAAAGGGTATGCGGCAATAACTAAAAAGCTATGCGTAGTCGTAAATGTGATTGTGGTAGTTGTAGTGTGGCATCTTCGAATGCAGTTTTTTTGTATTTTTGTTATAGTTGTATTTTGTTGTTATTCAGACAATCACATTTTTGCTTCAAATTTCTGTACAATCAATTTCATTTCTGCTGCAATTGATCAGGATATCATGGCTATCAAATTTAATGCTAGCTTCCGTTATATGGTGGGTTGTTGGTCGGATTATGTTAAAGGAGAAGGAGTGAAAGTGTGGAAATGAGATATCTATAAGCCAAGTTGTGGTTAGTTGGCTAAGCGGTTTCGTGAATTGTTTTTTTGTTTTGTTATAAGAAATTATTATTATTTTTCTGATTTTTCAGTAGGATATACTTTACTTAGTAGCAGAGGTTTTTTATATGTTTTTTACCCGGTTTCATAGTTCACCATACACCAGTTGGTATATATAACGCACTCCCTACAGGGTATACCAAAACAGCAGCCTTAGTAAAAGTTATAACCCCCTAATTATACTGCATAAAAATCCCGTTAAGATAATCAAACTAAAGCCCTCATTCTCTCCGGCTTTTATGAAAATAACAGTCCATGCTATAGTCGCTCGTTAACCCATTTTATTGCTGCACATTCAATTATATTGTTTTTCACTTGACCTAAGCATTGCCTTGGCTAATCCCATTTATCTATGTGACTATTAATTTGAAATATTTCACTACGTTTACATACATACAACCGTACGTATATATATATATATATATAGTATTGTATATAGTATATATGGTATTGTACGCATGCTGTTTATTGTTTTATATTCTTAAGCGAGTTTTATCATTTTATCATTCACACCCGTGTCGAACGTCCGGCCACATAAGCTACTGCCGCTGTTGTTGCTGCCGCCGCCTGCACTAACGGATGTGTACTGGTTGTGTTGTGTGTTTGTTTGGGCCATTGTATGGCGATATCTTCGAACTCGGTCGGACTATCATCGTCCATCATTTTTATTACCTGTGAATAGATATTCGGTTCGGCTCGTTTCAATTCCGTTTGTCGTGGACGACCCAATGTGGCGCTACAGTAAGGCGTCATGCGTGCTCCATTACCTGGACCAGCCAATTCGACGTAGGTTAAATCAGTCTGCGGAAGTGAGAGAGTAAATGTATAAGCTTATTTTCAAAGTAAACAAGTTTTTGTTGTAATTTTTGGTGTGTATAAATTCTTCTTCTTGTTTAATAATAACAGTTGTTTGACTAATTCCAAAGTTAAGGATTCGAATTCCCGATCTACCACATTTTTAGAATTAGTTTAATAAATTAGCACATTACAATGCAGAGCCATAAATTCGAAACTAAATTTAACAGTTAATTAACATTCATAGAGGCGTCGAACAAAGCAAAAACGAAAACTAAAAAAAAAGTACCCAAAATGCCACACTAATGCACCGTTACTAAATCAACTTCGCATTTCACACTTTGCGCCGAAATGAAGTGCCGTTGAAAGGTCACTCTGGGCGTGGTTATCAAAAGAGCACCAAGCAATTAACAGTGTGCGTGTTTGTGTGTGTGACTGCATCGAGCCAGCAGCCAGCGGTCATGCCACCCCAAAAGACCGAGATAAAGTGGAAATGGCATAGAACTTCGCGTGAAATATCCTTCCAAAGCGCGAACAATGCGATATTAACCATGGAAATTATGAGCACGATAAACAAGAGCCTTCAATGTATGGCACGAAAACACGCTTTGGGAGCTCGTAAAGTGCGATGCCCGCAACGACAATGCCGCGTTGCTACCGCCTCCACCAACGTCGCCTTCAACCGCACGCCTTCGATCAGCGAAACAGAAGAGTTCGAGTGTTGGAGCTGCGCGCCGCAATGATGCTGGTAATGTTCTTTTGGCCACATTACTGGCGTGGCATTGTTACTGTTCCATCGCAAAGTGATTGAAAATGCATTTAGCCGCAACTCAGCGCTATGTACATATATCTCTACGAGCACACAATGCCCAGCAGTTGCTCGTAGTTGCACAATATGCAAAAACTGTAGCAGCAGTTAAGGGGCAGACAGCGCGGACGCGCTCATAGCTGGCAGCACACAGCCATCAACGGCATCCGACGCGCCGGTTTGTTCATTTCCTGTTAACCCTTCGACCCACATGACAGACATACACATATCTACATTCATACTTACAGACATACGCACATACATGCGAAGCTGAGCAAATTACTGGCTTGCAGCAATGAAATAGCAATGCCTTTCGAGAATTTTCAATAAACCACATTGCAGCGTGTCAATGCAGCCGGTCTTCTTGGCTTGTGGCAGTGTTTGATGTATCTTATTGGCGAATTCGTTGAAGATTTGAACGCTGACAGCCCATAATCGGACGTGAACATGCGTGATTTCGTGCGTTATTAACAGTAATTATAACTATTATCAACGCTGCTAAATTTTTGAAGACTAGCAAGGAGTTCAATTTGTGAGTCCTTAATTTGATAAACAAAAATTTAAAACGTTGTTAGTCGCCAGAATGTATAATAGAGCTTACGTACCACTTGTTCAGTTGTTCAGCTTGGATGAATTCACATCATCCTAAATGTAGGCAACACTTTAAAAAAGAAGCAGTACTAACTGAAAATATTGTCCACAATTGGGCGCAAGTAAAAGAAAATTTAGCGAAGACGCACACTCTTATAATTGGTAATAAAACAAATTGATATTAATATAGAATTAGTTTTATAGTAGAACTAAGACGAGCGCTTGGGCACATGGATCGACTGAAATGCTAATTAAATCTCGTAAAACTGCGAGCTTTTCATCTATAATCTTGTTCAGATTCTGGTAGGTTAGAGTAAAAGACTTCGTTATATACCAAAAATGTATTCCAAGGGATATTATAAAAAAAGTTGATTTCTAAAATCTTTTCGAAACCAATCAGAACGCCGACGTACAAAAATTACCATTATAAATGAGTTGGTTCAAGGCGATCCAAGCATGCTAAGCGAACTCATGTATGCGTGAACAAACAAAAGAACAAAGGACCAATACATTTGGGATTATCAATTTTCCAAATGACAGCCGAAACCGCCGCACAACACCATCGTAAAGCGTGCAAAACAGTGCGCACCAGCACATACGCGACCATATTTTGTTGTCGGCCACCGCATGCGGCAACATAATGTGGCAACATTTATGCGCAGCGGTGATAAATTTCGAAGCCACACACTGGCAGCTATAAATAAGCACGACTTGAGCGCTTTGACGACGCTGCACTGCAAAGGTGCGGCGCTTTGTTGCAGCTAAGCCGGATTAACGGTGCTGCTTGTAATGGCTCGGCCTATTTGGCGACAATTGGCTTGGTTTCGGCTTGCTTAGAGCGCTATTGAGCTTAATTTTGTGTGTTTGCTGTTTGCATGCGTGTGTACCTTATTTAGTTGCTGCTGCGCCTGTTGCTGTTGCTGCTGTTGTTGCTGTTGCTGCTGCTGCGCATATCCGCCCATTTTGCTCACCGGTATCAGCGCATTATAGTGTATATATTGGCCATGTGGTGGCGGCGGTTGTTGTTGCTGCTGCTGCTGTTGTTGTTGCTGCTGTTGCTGGTGTTGTTGTTGCAATTGTTGCAAATGTTGCGCTGCCGACTTCTTATCGACAACAGCATATGTTGGCATTAAATGATCATACGTGGATGAGGTGATGACGGCGTTCTGCTCCGCCAGCGCGGCGGTTGCATAAGCGCGATTATGTCCCTTGGTGGTCCACTCCTCGTCATCGTCACGACCATCTATACACATAAGATACAAAAGGCGAAACAAGTGGACATTAATTATAGTTTTGCATAAATGTATGCATGTAATTGTGTGTATTTGAGAGTACTGCTGGCAACATGCAGCACACAGACACTACTACAAACTATTACCGTTACTATTGTGCAACTGTAAGGTGTATTGCATTGTGTTGTTGTTGGTACTCCACCCACCTTGCGGTATTATATCCGGATTCTTGTCTATGCTATCTAAACTGCTCGTCACATGGCAGGTATCCCGACCGATGCGTATATCCTGTATTGATTGCCCATTGTGTAGTGTACCAATGCTGACGCTGCCATTATTATTATTGCCACGCCCACTGGTCGTCGTTGGATGTGAGTAATTATTGCGATCGCGTCCCGTCGAGCCGCGCATGCGAACAATAATGACAATGATAAGCGCCACCAGGAATATGCTGCCCACAATGCCGACCAGTATGCCGAGAAATGGCCGGATATCCTCGATTACGGGCGCATAGGCGAGCGAGAGATCTGAAAAACAAAAACACAGAAGTACAATGATGTTACGCATTGGGTAGCGGTGAAAATCGATGACAGTTATTAGTTCAGGGACAAGCGTAGTTTAGAGATGAGCGGATATTGTGCGGGGCTACCATTTTTTTTTTTAACAACTATTACAGTGGCGTAAATGTGTATATATTTTAAAGTATTAGGTTGGTCCTGTTATGCGGGGAGAAAGTGTTACGCCTAATTTCTTTAATTTCGACGCTTATTCCGATAGTACATTATATCTGAAGATATTTCGCTAGCGTGTTAAATTACTCCACTAAGATGCAGTAAATTAAAATTGTTTAACATAGTTTACCTAAAATCGGTAGATATTTTAACAAAATTACAGATAGGTTTATAATATTTGGCAGAACTATCTGCTTTTTAAGCGCTTCTCACGCGTTTTAACTAATACTAATGCCTACCAGTATTAGTATGTGTTATTTTGGAATAATGTGGTACCGACTTTCGGTACTTTTCTAAATTATTTCTTTTAATTATATAAAAATCGATATTTCAACACTGCTGCGACCTACCTTAACCGCGTCCGAACGATTCCAACGCTCATAAACGATAACTTCAATTATTACAGTACCGATTTTCGGTAAAAAATCAACATATTTAATTTTAGATCTATTCGTAACAGCCTCTAATGGCAATAAAATGGTTAAATAGAAAACAATAGTAGTAACAGTGGGTATTGTTACCAATGAAAGCGAGTTATGGTGTGTTGCAGAGGTGCTGCACATGTAATATATAATATCATATCATATATCATTGAATATGTTATATAATTTTCACCACTTTCGCAACACATCATACTTATCGATAATATTAAATCTTATTTCGATAATACTAAAATTACGCATTTCTTTTGATTTCTTGAGGACCACCCTAATACATATATTTGGTTTTTCTATGCGTATGCTTTGCTTTTTGGACACTGGGGACTCATTTTTTTATTCTTACTTTTATCTGTTTTAATTTTTGTTATTGTACTGTTGTAGATTTGTGTTGTTAGAATACTAGTGGCAGTTGTTAGTTCATAAAAGCGTGGCGGCGTATTTATGTCACCCTTTTTGTAAGTAATAACGACTAAAAATTCGAAAAAAATTAAAAACAAATTTAAAAAATATTTAAACAAAAATTCAAAAGCAAAAATTTATTTAAAGAATGAAAGTGAAGATGAAAATGTCAAATTTCAAAAATAAACTTGCTTAAATATGGCATTCCCAACTATCAAGGTAGCTACTAACTCAAGTGATTATCAACCTCACTGAAAACTTTAAAACGAAGTCGACTTTCCCTTGGAAAGGGGGACATTGATGTAGTTCAGCTTTCTGTAGAGTTGTTTATATTATTTCATGAGCTTAACTTTTATCTAACTGAAAGCTATAAATACCGCACCAAAATTGTATAGAGACAATCCAGAAAAGACACCAGGATTAAGTTATTCCAATAACCAATTCCCAAAAAAAAAATTTTACTACATACCTGTATGAAATTAATAGTCTACTTTCAGTTAAAACTGAGCACAAGGAAAAAAAATAAATTATATACAATAATTTAGGTAAGATTTGGTTAACTAACTGGTATATATTTTAAAAAAGATCTCATATTTACTGCATTGCCAGGGGAGATTTAATTGAAATCTGTTATATTCAAAGTAACTTTATACTATTTTAGAAAGTGGAATTCCAAAATATTTTAGCCGATCCTGTTTTCTAAGCTTCATAAAAATCGACAAGCGAATGATAAGTTTTCTCTATACATCCCAAATAATTCCACTTAAGTGAAAAAATGCTAGAAAATTTCCGGTTTGATCGATCTTCCACCAAACCAATCGTAGCCAAAATATTATAGCTGATGTCAGTTCAGAAATTTTTCTTCAAGGCTTCACAGTTAATCCAGTAGTTGGTTACTGTCCAACCCCTAATAAAACCTTTAAGGAAAGAGTTTTTGTGGGAAACTCTCTGAAAATTTTTTTCTTAGGACGTTTGAATTAAGATTTTAACTAAAGAAATGAAAATCGAAATGTAATCAAAGTCAAATTTAAAAAGTTAACATCAAAATTAAAATGCTAATAGAAATTATATTTTACTAATTAATTAATTTAAACTTAGCTGAAATATAACAATTTTTTTTTTGTAATTCAATTAATTAAAATGCAATCAGTTCAAACAAAAATAAATAAAATAAAAAAAATTAATTTATTAATTAAATAAAAAAAATTAATTTATTGAATTATATGAAGTAAAATTAAATGAAATTAATTTAAATTAAATCTTATTAGCTAAAATGAAAAATAAACCGAAAAAATAAAAGTTATTACCAAGCGAATTAACTAGAATTTAGTTCAAATTAAATTAACTCTAAAATTATTTAAATTAATTAGTTATAAAACTAATGAAATCAGTTCGAAAAAAGTACTAAAATAAAACAAACTAAACTGAGCAAAAGAAAATTATTTAAAACTAAACTAAACATATTTTAAATTAGTTAAATAAATTAAACAAAACAGAATAATTAAATTAAAGAAAATTAAATCAAATTGAAAAAAAATAAATTGACTAAAGTGAAATTAAGTACACTGAAACTAAATTTATGAAAAATTATTTAAATAATATAATTATCAATCGGACTCAAACAATATAAAATTATCTAAGTTTAATTAGAGTAAGTGCTAATTTTTTTTTAACTATAATTAAAAAATTTTACTTTTCTCGAATGAAATTAAAAAAAAAATTAAATAAATTAAAAAAATATATATTAATTAAGATTGTATAAATGAACTCGAAGTCAACAGTGAATTATCACTTTTATTAAATTTCCACTTAATTACTAATTAAACATGAACAACTTAAGTTCACTCTGACCAAATTAAATTTAATTAGGAACAAGTTTTTATTAAATTTTATAATTACAAAAATATTATTTAATCGACGTTTCATAGAAAAAATTAGAGTTAATTAATAAACACTAAATAATTTTAAATAAAATATCTAAAGCGAACTGTGAGTTTTAGATCTTATAAAAAAAGATATACAACTTTTGTTTTGATTAACATTTTATTGATCCAAATAATATATATGTAGGTATGTATATACAGAATCATAAATTTCCATATGATAATTAAACTCAAGAAATTATGTTTTATAATTTCAAAAATATTAATTATTTAAAAATTTAATAAAATAAATTTAAAAGAATAATATATTAATTAATTAAAAAAAAAACTTAAATAAGATGTTATAAGGAAACTCTGAGACAACAAAACATAATTTTTTTTAGTTTTGCACTTTAGTAATCTAAAAATAATATATTCTCCTGAATATGCTACAAATACAGAAATAAGCTACCAAGAAAATAATTCACTAACAGATAATTCACAACTAAAACTACATAAATGTGTACGTATAATTTCGCAAAAAAGTATTTAATTGCACGCATATGTCTTATCTATGTATGTGTGCAATCACTCACCCGTCTGCTTCTCCGGATCCTTGAGCGTATACACTTGCAAAATAGTTGCATTGCTGCGTCCCTTCGCATTGTGCGCCACCAAGAAGACATTGTAGCCGGCGCCAGGCACCAGTCCACGCATTTCGAAGTACGGTGTGCTATTGTTATTGTTATTGTTGCATTTGAGGCATTTGAATTGTGACAGCAGGCAATAAAAGTAGTCAGCAGTAACAACCATGGCAGCAGCGCACAAAAAAAGAGGAAGAAAAAGAGTAAGTCAACCATTCCATTCAAAAATCAACCGAGCATAGCGTAGCGTAAAATGAAAAAAAATGGAGAGACAGAGAGAAAGGTAATGCGTATGAGTAGAGCTGCTAAAAGTATGGTGTATAGTAGATTTGAAAAATTAATCGAAAAAAAGTCGAACACAAATGCTGGAAAGCAACACAAATGCCGCAATTGAAGTGAAATTCGGCGTCACAGGACGCAGATTTGTTTCTGCTATTGTTGCCAGCATTTGCATTTGCCACTCTGTGTGCTCGCATGTCAGCCAAAAGTGCGGCAGCTGTGCGTCAGGCCAAACAAATGGACGTATATTGCGAAGCTGCCAGTGGTCATTCAACACAATTTTAGGCATGAATAACCGGAATTGCTGAGTGTTGTATGGAGCGGGAAGGGGTGGGAATAGTGGCCAAGGATGTTCGTTGCAGCAGGTGGCTTAGTTGAGTTTTGGTTTAGTTTTTGGTGCGCCAGCGTGTTGCGTGGTCTACTCACTTTGATCTGAAAACTTTCGGATAGCGTGTCGTTCCGTTCACATACACTTCCATTATGAAATCCTGCTGCAGACCGCCATCGAAGCCTTCGATGCATTCAATTTGAAAGCCGGTCGACGTTTGATTGAGTAGCGTGCAGTTAACCAATGGATCCGGTTCGCCTGTGAAGTGGAAAAAAAGTTTTGCTGTGAAATTGTTTTTGCTGTTTGTGATTGTTTTTCTCGAGTTTTGTTTTTAGGCATGAAATGCATATTGCTGAGGCAAGAAAAAAAGAAACGAGTAGTTTGCTATGTGTTTTGAATACGCTTGCAATTTGAATACAAAACGCTGGCGAACAAAACTTTGTCATTTGACGCTAATCTAAAAAAGCTGTGTCGGAAAAAACGCTTGAGGGACAAAAAGATGTGGTCTTAAGTTATTTGCCACAATGCGGCTGTGCAATTTTGAGTGAATGTCTGAGTCAAAAATACTGAAATAACGTTTAGAAACATTTATTTTGTGTAACGGCTTGAACAAGTTATAACTACACAAACGTTTCTAAAAAGCAGTAACGCTCTAAATAGTTCATATCAGTTGGCTTAGTTGTATGTTTAACAAGACAATACTGTGAGGAATAAATTTTCGAAATAAGATCAATTCAGCGTGCTCTACTTCAAACATTTTAGACGGCAGGACTATTGTACTGCGGAGAGCTCACCGACTTTTGCGTAAAAACGTGTTTTATTTGTCAGAAAATCGCTTGGTTTATATGTTAACTGCTAATTGAACATGAAAGCAAAGCTCTAAAGCCGCAAGGTACTCGTTATCTAACTTCGATCAGGTCGCTGCCAAACAAAACTTGTTTAAGATGCTAGAAAAGGATTTTATGTGACTAAAATTGCACTCTCGAAATGTGCACAGAAATAAGCTCATGCAACTGTTAACATAACCAATAAAATAACCTATGAAACGGTTCTGTAAACTGTCAGCTCTACGTAGCCGGTGTAGACCCATATTTATATCTGTCCAGGAACTGTTAACTTAATAGCATTCTTTAGGAGAAGCTGCAGAATTTTTTTTGTAGCTAAAGCAACAAAATGGAGCAAAATATTATAATTACTCTGCTCAGATTTTTCGATCAGTTTGTATGGCAGCTATAAGCCATTAGGACCAGTGTCAATCTGAATAATTTCTTCAGAGATTGTAGCGCAGATTTTTGCAATTATGCAATGCAAATTTCGTGACGATATCTTGTTAAATAGAAAAATTTTCCATACAAGAACTTGATTTGGATCGATCAGTTTATATGACAGCTATATGCTACAGTAATGCGATCTAAATAATACATTCAGAGATTATAGCGTTGCACTAAACAATAACCTATGGCATATTTCTTGAAGAAATATCGTTAAATGAAAAAGCTTTCCATACAAGCACTTCATTCTGAACGTTCAGTTTGTATGGCAGCTATATGCTATAGTATTCCGAAATCGGCAGTTCCGACAAATATGCAGCTGCTTGCGGAGAAAATGACGTGTGCAAAATTTCAGATCGATATCTCAAAAACTGAGAGACTAGTTCTCGTATATACAGACGAGCCTGGCTAAAGCGACTAAGCTCGTCACGCTGATGATTTATATATAGGTTTACTTTAAATGATCTCAGACGTCGCCTTTTAGGCAACTTACATCATAAAACTGTTCTGAGTAGTGTTGCTACCTAACAATTTTTTTTTTAATTTTGTTATTACTTTTTATATGAGTAAAAAAATTTCAAGTTGTTTAAACTTTGTAAAATTGTTATTTTTCAAAAGATATTCAAATATTTGCTTACAACTGTGGCAAACGCTAAAAGCCAGTAAAGAGGCGTACATGCATAATGTGCGCCATTTCTGGTTTAGCAAACGTAAAAAAATTATAAAAATTCTATCATAGCATAACCTTTATGATGGAAAGTTTCGAAAAAAAAAGTCTGGCTGCCGTCAGCGCCATTGACATGTTGCAAGTGGCACAGGTGACACTGTGGCGCCAACATAAACGAATATTGCGCGTCATTATTAGCGCAGGGTGTAACCAATTTTTTTGACGGTACTGCCATAACAACTACAACAACAACAAAAACAACTACAACCTTAACTGCACTTGCGTTTTTCACACATTTCAATTCAGTTTTGTTTTTTTCCTGCTTCGCACGCGTGTTAAGTATTTTCACACTTGCTACACCGTATTGTTGTTCTTGTTAATGTTTGTTCACACTCACCTGCTGGCAGCACGGTGTAAACACACGGTTCACTCTGATCGCCAATTTCGTTGCTAGCCCAACAGAGCAACGTGCCATAGTCCTGTAAAGAAGAGACGAGACGAAAAGGGAAGAGCGAGAAAAGAAAAAAAAAATAAAAAGAAAAGAAAAACACAAAAACAACAAGTTAGTTAGCATAAAACGGCTGTAAAGGCGAATTGCGAGAAAATAGTGCAAAATTTATTGGTACGCCTGCCTGATGCATGCCATACTATATGTGTCTGTATATATGCATATATATGTGTATTTGTGACAGGACATTTGCATGTCAGTGCCGTGCACAAATAACGCAGAGTGCGACGCCTAACGACCTTAGGCTAAGCAAATTTGACGGCTGGTAGCTGGCTAACGTTGACCCCTTTTGTGTGCCGCATTGTTATTGTCGCTTGGTAGCTGCCGTTGCAGGTTCATTGCGAATTCAAAACCGCAATTCAGTTGGAAAATTATGCGAATCTATTGGAAAATTGATGATTTATCGTAGAGGCGACACACGCTTGCGCATAAATGCATGCGTGTGTCGTGAAAGCTGGCTGCCGTCCATATAGGTACTTACATATACATTAGGGTGTGCGTAATATCTCAAGCTGGATTTTTTAGATTTTTTTTCGCAAATGCCGCCTAAAATTTAAGTTTTTGCTCTATAAATATGTATCCAACGTAAACAAGCTATTTATTTTCATTTTAAAATGCGCTCAAACCTTTTTTTCATTTTTCCCATATATTTTACATGACATTTTTTGATAGTTTGCATTAAGCAAATAAACCTACAAACTTGAAAAAATAATATTCTAGTGCAACACCTTCCGCTCTACATAACTGTTTAAAGTAATTTTTTTTCATAAGCCACTTCTTTGTCAGTTATGCTCAGTTAAAGTTATACATCAAGCATACCGTACACCATGTCGTATGAGCAACACAGAGTAAGTCACTTGTATGAAAGTTCAGTACATTTGTTACATAGCTTTAACTGCATATAACTTTTAAAGGTGTGGTTTATGGAAAAAATTATTAAAACATTTTAGTCGAATGAAACATTTTGTAATTTAATACTGCCTCTTCAAAGTTGAAAATTTATTTACTTTGGAGATACATTTTTTATGCAAAATATCGAAATAGTTTCATGTTAAATACATGCTAAAAGAAATATGAGTTACGTACGGTTTCAATTGAAAATAAAGAGCATTTTTGCGTTGAATACTTTTGTTAAAGCAAAAATTAAGTTTCCAATTCCAAAAAAAAAAAATCAACTTTGGAAATAACGTACACCCTAATATGCAACGTAAGAGTCTGTGTGCGTGTGTTGGAAGGTGCGGAAGTCACGTGACGGCTACAAAGCATTTCACAACGACAGCAGTGGCATGACACAGGCAACACATCATAATTCATGCCACTGACATTCGATCAACTCAAATACGGAGTAGAGTTGAACTCACAGCGCACTCAGCAGACGGTCACTTTAGTCATACACTCAGCATGCTAGTCAGTCATTCATTTAGTTTACCAGTCAGTCATTCATTCGGTAAATCAGTCAAATAGTCGCTTAGAAAACTAGTCAGACGGCCACTCAGTAAACTAGTCAGTCGGCCACTCAGTAAACTAGTCAGTCATTCACTTAGTCACACAACCAACCAGTCAGTCTGTCTGTAGTCGGCAGTAAGCTTTGTTATTTTCAACTTTACAATTTTACAACTCTTCAACACATCGACATCTACCACTACGTATATAATAACAACAATAACCGCGTCTTGCCACGCTTTCTTTGCGCACTTACATTTTCCGTCATGGGCGTGTAGTGCGCTATGCTGCGTCCACGGTCCACAGCGATTTGTGATGCCGGTATGTCGATTGTCTCGCCGTGTGTTGCATTGAATTTCCAGCTGTATGTCGCCTCCATTGGATTTGCCTCGATTTCGCAGGCAATTTTAACCGTCTCTTGTCGTGCGGAACTGTAGGCGAAACGTTGACCGGGCCGGCAGACGGGCGCAACTGTGAAAGAAGAACAGAGTGACGCAGTAAAGCGTTAAAACAACAGGCATTTTAAGTGACATGCTGCAATTGAAATATGTGCATATGTGTGTATGTTTATGTTAGAACGCGGAGTGTTGCTTAAATGCTGGTATATGAGTAGATAAAAACTTTAATCCTAAATATAGGCAACGCTCTATATCTATAAGTTGTTACGGTAAGTGAGTTCTTAGCGCCTCATCTATCGATTTGATTTTACCTCTGTCCACTTCGCTCTTTTAAAAATTCTAAGTTTCGACTTAAATTGTTAGTTTAAATAACTGGTTTACCTAAGAAATGAAGCCGCAGTTTTTTAGAAACGGCAATTATAAATCATAATGCTCTCTATTCAAATTCACAGAATAGAGTATAGCCTACGAAAGCTACAACGATTTTGAGCTTATTTGTGTCTAATTGAAAAAACCATACCAGCAGTAATATAATATATGACAAGACTGTGGTCTATGGAGACTTTTTTTATAGGCACGCTAAAAATTTCTTCTTTTATATTATATATAGAAATGTAAACGACTCACTCATGCTGAATGGCCATGGATCGTCCATGTGCAATGACCCAAACATTTTTCTATGGAATTTGGCCATATTTTCTAGTAATCAATTTTAAATGTTGCCTACAACTAGGCGTATTTTAGCAAAGGCATGCACCTAAAGCGTTTCTCTATCAATTCTCCTGCTTAGCGGACAAACACTTGCTTTGTGCATGAATAGGCATATATATGTACCCAAAATCGCAACTTCACGAAGTTATGAGTCACCGCTCGTAGCTTATGCTAGCGTGTGAGTAATTTTCATGCCTGTAAATGCATTCACTTGTGTGCTTAATAGTGGCTACGACGATAATTCCATAACTCCAACTCTTTTGGCGGCACTGGAGTGCCAACATGTAGCCCACATGCGGCCCAACATTTGCATAATTAAATGAAAACATTGACTCAAGTTTAATTTCGCCTTAAATGCGAAAAAAAAAAATCAATGAAAAAATGCTGCCTTTTATCGCCTTGCTTTTACTTTGTGCCTTTCGTTGCTTTCTTATAGCCTTTATTCGTCTTCAACTGGGCATTATTTTAATTTTAAGTCTGTCATTGAATGATGGATTGACTTTTTAAAATGATTTTTCACTGGATGGGCAATTTTAATTTACCACACACACACACACAATCACGAAAACTTTCGTCACTTACTTGCTAACGGAAGTATTTAATAAGAATATTAAGCTTCTTATACAGCGAGCTTTATATTTTTACAGTTATATGGGTATTTATCGAGATACATACTGCTATATATAATAATACTTTGCTCAAGTGAAGAGTGAAGTGAAGAGTTGGTTTATTGGAAAAGACTTCACAACAGTGCTTGGTGTTGACATAATTGTATATGATTTTTCCTTCATTGATCGATTATTTGCATGCATGTTTGTATATTCTTCGTAAATCGGTTTCAATTTGAGTGGTCGTGTATAAAGTTGTATTCAAAAGATTGCTAGGAGTATACTTGAGCTTGGTGTCAAAAGTGAGGTTAAGTTGGTTTTGTGGACTAAATATATGATAGGTTTTATGTCTAAAAACCATTTTTGACTTCAATATCGACAAGAAACTTTGAAATTCTGTTTTCTTCTAATCTGAGTAAGTATTTGTTTCAGGCGACTATATAAGAATTGAGAGCATTCTGCCATACAGATGACAAATTCACATCCGATGACAGTTTCCATAGGTATGCCAAATGGCATCTGTCAAACGCATGACAGTTTGGTGCTGTCAAACGGATGTCAAAGGGATTTCAAGTGACAGTCTTCAAACCTAAGTCAGATTGACGTTCGATGGCAGCTGTCCACCGAATGACAAAACCAGATATCAAATGGATGTCAGCTGTCGAATGGAAGTCAAATAGCAGCTGTCAAACGGACATCAGATTGATGTCAGATGGCAGATATAAAAGGATGTCAAAAAGCAGATGTCTAATGGATGTCATAAGATAAATATCAATTGACTGTCAGATAACAGTTGTCAAGTGAACATCAGTTGGCAGCTATCAAGCGGATGTCAAAAACCAGATGTCAAAAGGATGTCATAAGCCAAATGACAATTGGTTGTCAGATTGACGTCATATGACACTTGTCAAACTAACGGCATATGGCAGCTATCAAACTGATGTTAAATTGTCTTCAGATTGAACGTGGAAGCTGTATATCTGCTGTATGAGATTATGGTTATTAAACATCCTCAGTTGACCTTAGGGAACACAGGTACATTAAGGTGAATACCTCATGAATAAAAATATCTATTATAATTAAAATTAATTGAATAACCTTCGTCTTCATAGATTCTAAAGTTATTGGTGTTAAGGACATCTAAACCAATTCGGAATGTCTTGTGAGCTTCCGAAGTCATCAACACATTAGCAGCTGTATATATGGCCATCAAAAGAGCAGCGCGATCCTACCTCGTTAAATAGGAAGAAATACCCACGTTACAAGAGATTATAATAATCTCTAACTAAATAAATTTCTTTAAAAGCTTTTCTGGACTCCACTTACACAGCTTAGAAGTGTGTCCCAAATTTTAGAGCACCTTCTTAGCATCACATAACTTCAATTAGTCGAGCTATTCGAGAAATATGTTACAAATTCTTCGCCATCAAATTCGTTTACTGCGATTTTTAACTATTTCAATTTCTTGACAAGTACAATTACACATGTTGCAGCAGACACACAAATTGTTACGGCAATTTGCAGCTGTCAAGCATTCAACTTGAATGCAGCAAATCTCTTTAACGATTGTAACTATGCGAGTAAGCATAAGGCTACAATTCGAAATCCTTGCATGCGAAATATTTGCACTACACATGCACACATAGTAGACATATGTAACAATATGTGATATCAATAGGTGTGTGCGAAATTCGAACATGAAAACAATTTAAAATATTCAAACTAAATTGTCTACAACACGAGCAAAGGCCAAATAAGGATACGACAAACAATTTGGCAAAACTGGAAGCCGGACAAAACATATATAAATATATATATTTGTACAAGTATTTGTATTTGTATCACTATAGTGCAGACAAACTGCCTCAAATTGCAGCACCAGCTTCTAAGTCCAACCGGCAAGCGAACAGCGCCAGACAAAACAACATTGAATCTTGCAAATGAGAAGATCGCTTGTGCGCAAGTTAAAGCTATGCAAGTGCACAGACAACAGCATGTATTAACACTAGGATAATCCAAACTAACAGTAAATTGCAATTGCAGTTTTACACTGGTCAACACAGTTTTTTAACTACTGATGTTATAAGTGTGGTTTGTAGCAGCCGAGATACCGAAAAAGAAAAAGTTGCAGTTGTTCCATAAGAAATAACTCACATTCATTTGACAACTGTCACCTGACGTCAATCTGACAACCGTTTGACTGCTGCCATTGCACACAGCTGACACTCGTTTGATATGTGGGTTTTGACATTCATTCGAAAACTGACACAAATTTTATATCTTGGTTTTCACATACATACATTCGAAAGCTGCATAAATCTGTGAACAAACATGGTTTTCAAAATCACGTCATCCCTGCTGGTAGACGCTGTACATGCAGCTGTACTCAGAAAAAATATGCTTGTTATGCTTTCCTAATATTCTGAAAAAAATTTGGTTGCAATTTCCTTTACTTTAATTTATTGATTAACGTACTTTTTCTTATAAAATACATATTAGCGTGTGTTGAAAATATTCAGAAATTTTTGTTTTGTTAACTAATGTAATTTGATAGTTTGCATGCAAGCGACGTTAGCTCACGAGTATGTGACAAGAAACGCATACACATACGCTGTTGAGGATTATAAACTAATTTCGACTGGTTGTACTAGTCGTAGGCCCTTACTTAGCACAACATTTACTGTGACAACAACAGCAACAGCAATACTAAGAACTAACTGCTGCTAAATACTGCATTATTTAGTTTAATTTCAAGAGTCATGCATGATAAAGCGGCAGCTACAATTGCTGCAAAAGTGGATATATATATATATGCATATATTTATAACTGTTCAGATATATTTATATAAATTATATATGTACTTACATGCATTGGACACATACCTATATCTATCTATGTATTTATGTATTTATGTAAATATTAGAGACTTCACTTGACCATGCATAATTTCGCATTTGTCTCGGCATTTTCACAGCGCTATGCAGCGCTGTTATTTCGCATTTACAGAGATAGTTGGATCACGATATGTATATATCTTTATACATATTTATTTAGTGCCTAGGCATTTTATATACAATGCACAATTAATTTTTATACGCCTAAAACAATGGGAAATTGAAACTTTCATTTAATTTAAGGCATCGTTGCCGCCTGCACGGCAATTTTGTAGCTTCTCTAAACGTCTATAACGTTAAAATTCAACAATTAAGTGGCCACGCTCGTTTAATTAAGCGAATACAAGCATTTATTTATATGTATATAATATATATGTGTAAATAAATGCAAGAGCTTTAAAGAACAAAAACAAAAAATAACTAAATAGCTGTCATTGCAATGCTTCTTCTTGTGCTATTTCTTCTTCAATGCACTGTGTAAATTATAGTGCAAATTATTGTTAGCAGAAATAAATTACTTCAATTACTATTATTATTTGCATTACATTTGTGTTTATAGCTGTAAATGTACACAACAACTGTATACCATATTTATATAAGTACAAATTGGTATGAATCGAGTATGATGTATGAATTTCCTCGTACACAGCCGTAAACAATAGCTCAATCACTCGCCTTTAATTGTTATTTATATTTGAATTTACAAACTTTTAATGTATTTAATTATTAGTCAATTCGAAAAGCGCAATTAGTCCTCTTAATACTAAATGCGCAATTTCATTTTGCAACCGCTATCCAATTAATTTACTAATACATAATATCTGATGATGAATGGTTTAGAAATATAAAAATAAAAACAACATTACTTCGACTGCACCGGCGCTATAATATCAAGTGCATTTTTTATAGCAAAAAGTGGTATAAAAAGTTCTTTATTCTCGTCGTTCAGTTTGTATGACAGCTATATGCTATAGTGTTCCGATCTGCACAATTTTTTCGGAGATTGTACCGCTCGCTTAGAAAATAATTCATACCAAATTTACTTTTCTTTGATCGTTCAGTTTGTATGACTGCTATATGCAATAATGATCTGATCTGAACGTTATATTTAGAGCTTATACTTCTGCCTTGAAAAATAATATATGCCAAATTTCGAAAAGATATCTTATAAACTAAAAAGTTTTCCATACAAGGGCTTGTACAGTCTAAAATGTAGGCAACATGAAACGTTCTAGAGCTAGAAAAAGAAAAATTATAAATAATTCGGGGCAAAACGCAATACAGCCAAAATTGATATGTATCTTTCAATGGTATGGAAAAATTCAAAATTTCCTTCAAAAAGTTAATATCTGCTTTGAAATGCAGACAACGTTTTCTAGCAAATTGAGCTAAACCTGATTTACAATAGCTGTACTCAAATCTACCTCGTGACCTTGTGAAAGAGTTGTTAAAACTTTTTCTTCATTTGTGTTTTTCGTCGTCTTGATCATTTTCTTTCACCTGTTGTTTTCCGTTTAGCTGCAGCTGCCTTTGCCCCTAAATGTAGGCAAAAGTCGGTACGAGAATTATTTTTATATGATATAATGCAGAACCAATTTTACCATATTTAAATATTTCTTTCAATTTTAATGAAGACATATTTGTTAGATAACCTATTTTGCCCGTGATTATCTTTATTATTTAGAGAATGTACATATTTTTTGATTAAGTTTAGTCATGCCACCTTTATTTGTTATTCGCGGAAAGTGGGCCATATTTTTGAGCAAAGTTTTTCGGTCCAACTTAAAATTTTTCTAAAACGTAACCGGTCTTAATAAAAATTGGTCTAAAAAACCTAGTCTAAAGTCGTAAACTATCTAACAAAAAATTAGTATAAGCCATTACTGGTCTAAGTACTAATTGGTCTAAACAAAAACTGGTATAAACGTATTTGAGTACTTTTTGCAAACAGAAAGCTTTATCTCACTAAAAACACTTAAATCATAAAAAATATTTTTTTTTTTTTTCTAAAATTTCATAGTTCCAGAAAACACATACCTTTCCGACAATAATTTGCCATAACACACTTAATTCAAAATTTTAAGATGCTCCCTCAATTCTCCTTCATCTCTTAATTGCCATATTTCTGCAATTTTTCAAACCGATTTTAATTAAGATTGCAAATATTTCAACAAATTGAAATCTCAAACAATTAATCGCCACTTGCAAGCACTAATCTCGCACCACAGAACGTGCAAGGGTTGTAGAAACGCATAGTACCAGACTCACGCTCAACCCGAAAATACGTGTAACTGCGCACCACATTGACCATTGACATTTGCAATTTACGATTTAAGAGAAAAACAAGGAGAATGCGGTCAAGCCGGCCTGTTGTAAATGCCGGCTGGCTCGTAATTTTAATTTCCGAAATTCAACATAGCAAAAACAGAGAGCAAGCGACGACAATCGATGCTGTCAAACAGAGCGTAGTTACAATTTAAATGCCACAGCATTTGCGGAAGTGCGTATGAGTGTTGAGGGTGTATGTGAGTGTGTGTGAACTTTTGCGTTTTTGGTGAAACGGAAGGGATATGTGAGCGCGTATGCGTGCATGTATGTGTATTTGTGTCAAGCAGCGCATAAGTCAGAAGAAAATCTGAGCAAAAGTAAGATGAATGCTTTGACAGTTGTTGCCCTAGCAGCTGGCACAGGATGTAAGGCGGTAAAGCGGCCGGCTGCAGCAGGATGCGCATTTTCATGTGTGTGTGTGAGTGTGTGTGCAAGCGGCAAAAGACTGTCCGCAGTAGGCATTTATGCTGGCTGGTGGTATTGTTTTGCTGCTGCCTGCATTTGTTGCAGCTTCTCTGCGCCAGGCATAAGAAATGACAGGCAATTTGTTTGCACCAGATCCAAAGTAATGCCTATCAAACCTGGGTGGCGAACAAACAGATAAATAAGTAGGCCAGAAAAATGTGTGACAAAAAGCTAAGAGCTGACTGAGAGCGGAAGCCATCTTCTGTAGGCAGAAGAAGCCAATTGTAAATTGCTCGACGTAAGCCTTTTGGGTGTATGCGGGTACATACCATATGTATAAGGGTGGTACTAAAATGAAGGTGAAACTGACAGTGAATTTCCCAAACCACTCTTAAAAAATGTTGATCCACATACCATACATGTCGTTGAGCTAGCGAGTACTAAAAGATTTTCTCTAACTTGAAACAAAATTTATTTTTGAAAGCTTCGAATGAAGTAGTAACGATTTCATAGAGTATGTTGTGTGAATTCTCACAGACTAAAACAACCTTTGACTTCACTTAATATTTCTAAACTCCTTAATCCTTATTACCGTGATATCACCACTTTAAGCGAAGAGTACAGTGTCATCTGATTTTTCAGTGTCACCCTAATATTTTACAGATATCTTAAACACTCATATTTTTTCGTTGCTGTGAATTACATGCTTGCCACAGTGTGAAAATTGGACAAAAAGTTACGCATCTCGGAAGAGACAGATAAATGCTCGCTGAGAACGCAACAATAAGTTAGGGAAAGAAGGCGAAAAGAAGCAGTAAAAATAAATTGTATGTGTCAACCGTAAAATATTGTAGCAGAAAGTATCTCAACACCATAACTATCTCAACACCAAATATAAATTTGTTTGTTGTTGTTTTTATTTTATAAAATTTTATCGTTTTGTGTACTTACATCTTATATCCAAATGCACAGGGTTACTCTCGCCATCACCTTCCCGATTACTGCCGACACAAGTGTAGATGCCCGCACGAGCACGACTCACATTTTGGAGCACCAAGCTCTGGTTGGCCACTATGATGCCTTCAGGTAGATTATTCTCGAGTATATTGCCCTGGAGGATAGCGAAAGAGAGAGAGAGAGAGAGAGAAAGGTATAATTTGTTTCAAAAAATATGAAAAATTTTAAATAAGTAAAAATTCGTGTAAAAAGTCTCTCAAATCTTGGTATTGAAAATTTGAATCTTATGTATTAGTTATTAATCCTTCCATAAATAAAATATAGCGTGAAATAGTCGTTATGTACTTAGGTAACTGCTAAATTGATTACTAATAAGTTCAATAAGTAACCTCATTTTGTGATCACCTATGATGATCACCGCTCGCTGAATATCTGTTGTATATTATGGGAACAATTTACATTTTCGAAACACACACGAGGTCTGCTTGTATTTGGAACCAACAATTCGTTTTAATTTTTAATATTTTGTTTCATGAAACCTGTACCAGAAAAGAACAGGGTGTCTGATTTTCGCACATAATGAGATCAAGCACTCAGTTTTGCCAGTAACGGAAACGTTGGTCTTAGTTTCTCAAGTAGTAAATTTGGTCAGGGAAGGCTTTAAAAGTTCTGACTACGAAATATTTCCGAAAATTTGCTTGAAAATCTGTTCTGAATCGATTTTGGAAGTTTTAAATTCAAAATATTTTCGAAGAATTACTATAAAAGTTTAGTCTGGGTAGTTTTTAAAAGTTTTATATAGAAAATATTTTCAGAATATTTGCTTTAAAACTTAGTGTGGGAAGAAGTTCTAACTTCAAAAAATTTCCGAGAATTTGCTTTACAATTTATTTTGGAAAGATTTCGGAACTTCTAACCTCAAATTGTTGCCGAGAATTTCCTTCAAAATTTATTTTGGAAGTTACAGAAGTTCTAACCTCAAAATATTTTCCATTTTTTTTAAAAGGGTTTCGGAAGTTCTAACATAAAATTCTTTCCGAGAATTTGATGGAAAAATTATTTTGGGAAGATTTTCGAACTTCTAACCTCAAAATATTTGCGAGAATTTTCTGCAAAATTTATTCCTGAAAGACTTTAGAAGTTCTAAATTCAAAATATTTCTGGAAATTTAGTTTGAGCATGTTTTGGAAGTTTTGAAATCAAACTATTTTCGAAAATTTCATTTAAAATTCATTTGGAGACTATTTTGAAAGTTTTAAATTCAAACTATTTCACAGAATTTGCTTAAAATTTTTGTGGGAAATTTTCGGACAGTTTAACTTCAAAATATTCGCTAGAAGATGCTTTAAAATTTAGTTTGAGTAGGGTTCTAAAGTTCTAAAGTCAAAATATTTTCATACAAGCCTTGCTTCGCATAGAAAATAGTGGACTTTAGACCGCAACTATTATAAAAAGGCTGCAGGCACTCAGTCCATATGTCTAAAAGAGGTTACATACACGGCCGTACTTCCATTAAGACGTTGGAGCAAGCAATTGAGACATCGATATTAGCTTAAATTCAAGTACGAACAAAAGAAGAAACGAACATTTTTTTTCTTTTTAAATCTAAAAGGGCATACTCATGTAAGACGCCGACAAAAGTGAGCAGCTTAAGTCAACAGTACAGTAAGAACCAAGGAGTGCCGAAAAGGCGATAGAAAAAAGTGCCAAATGAAATATGCAAATAACAAAATAAAAAAAATATACAAAAAGAAATAATGAGAAATTTTTGCCGGCGGCTAAACATCAGCCAACTTATGAGCAAGTTGCCGGAGTTCCATTTAAGCGCACACACACACATGCACAAAACATATGAGAGGTCGTGTATATTGTATGTGCTCAACCAGCTCTTTGTGCTGCTACAAGTATGTGCGTGTATGTTTGTATGTGTATGGGTGTATGCAACATACACGTAAGACCTTTTGAAACTTTGCTAATGCTGAAGGCTGATTTATATGTAAATAATAATTTTCAATTAGGTTTAAAGAGCAAACGTTTGCTTCCTGACGAAAAATGAAAATGCTCTCAGCTATTTTGCTGGGTTCTTTTGCTTGACAAAGTGAAACAGATTGAAAAGCACAAGCAGAAAGAAATGTGTAGCGTGCCTCGCAATAATATAAACATAAGACTTTCTTTGCGCTTATTACGCTTAACATACAGTGAATGTGTAGGCATTAGGGTGGTGCTTAAATGCAGGAAGAAATTTTTAAAGTGAAAATAATTAAATTGTATGCCTTTTCAGATAATAACTACTACCTGTGAGCTGAAATATCACTATTGGACTTGTTTTCATGCTAAAAACTGGGAACTGTACTAGTCAAAGTTCAGACAACAACAAGAAGAAGAAAAAAAAATATATATATGTATATAAGAAACAAATCTATTACATCAATTACTTTTTCCATTTTTATTATGTTTTTGTTTTAAGCCGCACCCTAATACACACATTTTTGCATTTTCAATTTTCCATTATACAAATTAAAATATTCTTTTACCGTTTATCGGCAATACATTTTTAATAATAAAAATAAATTTTTTATGAACCACCCTAATATAAAATTATTTGTATTTTTCATGTTCCAGCATCAATTATTATATATTCTTTTATCATCAATTATTTTAAATAAAAAAACAAAATTTTGGTGCTACCCTAATGCACACGTAATACTTGCATCTTTTATTCTCCAAAAGAAACTTATTGCTTGCTTATTTATATGCACATGTATACTTGAGTGGTGATGTGCATGTGTGCACTTATTTACATACTCTTGAAAGCAACTTGTAGCCACTAAGGCATGTCATATGCGATTATTATGCATACATATGAGTTATATAAATTAAATTGTCAACGTTGAAGGCATAGAAAATGAAAAATCCATCATCATCAACAACAGCACCGCAAGACATATGCGATTATAATTTTCTTTTCACACATGCACACAACCATACATATCATACAATAGCAAGGAAACAATTTTTAAAAAGTCATAAATAGTTATTTCAAAAAGCAATATGAGCACCGCTGTGCATACTTACATTGTGGCGCCAACTGACTTTGTAGACCCAAGGATTCGATTTGATGTTGCACTCGAAGAAAACATCGATGCCTTCGCGAAAGGTTGAATTTATTGAGTTGGTGCCGAGCTCCAGACTCACGACAGGTATGTCTGTGTGGTGAAAATGAAATGTATTTAATATATATATAAATACATACATTCCTACAGTGTTGCTTAAAATATTAACAGCAATTAATTTTCAGGCATTCAACTAAGCTACCTTCACTCTCAGCCCATTTAATTAGACAATATTTCGCAATTTCTTACACTTCCGCCACAAAAATACATATTACACTCTCGCTAACTCTCTACTTCTCACTTTCTCTTTTCATCCTCATTTTTAGTCTCTATAATTCTCACTTTCATTAGTTACTTCGTACACCTGCCTTAATTGCCTCTGCTTTGGTTTTGTTGTTAGCCTTTTTGCCTCGTCTCTCCGCTCAGCTGGACTGTAATTAATTTATTTGGCATCTGATTGCATTTTAACCTTTTCCTGCTTACACGCTATATTTATTTATTTATTCTCTGCAATATTTATGTGGTGTGTGTAAAATATATGCGCTTCCTGCTTCGCACTTTCGACTTCCTTTGCTGTGAATTAATGCTGTTCATATTTTTATTTTGCGCGTTTCCAGTTAAGTAAACCGGCAGCTGTTCTGGAATATATACGAGTAGTACCCAGCAGGAATCACTCAGAGCGTATCCGTGTATCGAATATATACTTAAATTTTTTGATCTGCCATTTTTTGTAAAGTGCAAAGAGTATGTTACACATATTTCGAAATCAGAACTTCGTTGAAAATATTGAAAAACTTTCGAACATATTTTCGAAAACACGTTCTATAAAAAAGCATTATTTTTGCATATATTTTCGAACACTGATGACAACTAAAAACAAAGGTTTCTGATGATTGTCTAAATTTAGGAAATACAGAAGTACACAAAAATTTTCGACCATCTTTTCGAAAATGCACTTTTTAAAGAATCGTTATTTTTGCATTAGTTTTCGATTACTGATATAGAAATACAAATACGATCTGATTATTCTCGAAATTCAGAATATTAAAACAGGTTTCTAAAAAAGGCGTTATGAATTAGTTTTCGAACATTGATAGCAAAATAATATAAAGATTTTTGATAATTTTTGAAATTTAGGAAAAAAAAAATTGTTAAAAAACTATCGATTATTATTTTGCATATATTTTCGAATTTTGACATTAAAATACTAAACAAATTACTCGAAATTTGGAATCATCGAAAGTATTGTAAGGAATTTTTTTGCAGTAATGCAGAAGTGCGAAAATTATTTAAGAAAAATTTCGAATATTTAGGTAATTATTTCTTTAAAATATTTTTTTATCCAATTTTTACAAAACAACATAAATGAGTATTTCACCTGTCATGTTCGAAAAGCATATTTTACGAAGAAGCAAAATTTCATATTATTCGATATACTCGAAAGTTATATTTTTTTGAAGAAACGCAATTTCTAATTAGTCGAAATCATGCACTATGTAGTCAGATCTCAAATTTACAATTGAAACAAAATTCCTTTTATTGTACATAGTAAATACACAGCTAAAGTTCGAATTTAGAATTCGAAAATAATAAATATGATATTCATTCAATGATTTTGAATGTAAAATCTAAAAAAATTATAAGAGTTTACTTGAATTTTTCGAAATTGTATTTTCAACAAATTTGATATATTTATTTAGAACCTTTTCTTAACTAAACCAAACTACATTTTAGGTTTTATTTTGATTAGTAAGCAGAGACACCTTAGAATTAGTTCAAAACTGAAAAAAAAAATTTAAGAATTTTGAAATTTTAAAATTTTTTGAATAGAAGCAAAAGTCAAAGTCAATTTTTTTTTTTTAATGTAATATCATTCGAAAATATTTTGGACATCTCCAAATAGATAATGAGATTCACTGCGAAGCTTTTTTATGTCAAAAACGCGGTCTACACTTGAAAATCGATAATATAAAGAATTAAAAGAAAAAAGTGAAGGAGGGACGGTTCTCGAACTTAATGTTGCATACGTTTTTACATATTATCAATTATTTTTCGCTAACAGTCCAGCTTGAAGTCAACAGGTTCCATATATATCCTTTACAAATTTCCTACGGGGTACTAACTTTCATTAACTGATCACATACACATGCTCTTACAAAACCGCTTGTAGATACTTACATTTAAGTATGCCTTAGCAAATGTTGAAATAAATATATATTTCTGCTTATTTGGCTTATTATAAGAAACATTAAACTGATACACGTTCACGCATTTTCATTTGTAAAACTCTCTCTGTGTTTGTGTGTGTGTGCACACGCATATGTGTCGGCTCATTAAAAACCACCTGCTTGTTCCATGGCATAAATTCTTATTTGTAGTAACGCCACGTATCTACATCTTAATTAAACTCCTTTTGTTGAGACTCTTGTTGCTCCCGTTAAAACGGAACATCTGCTATTTAATAACCAAATTCACAGCTTACATATGTTGGTATGTATGTATTTGTGCATATCGCAATCAGTTTTACGGGGTAATTAAGAGGAAAATTGTTTAAATCTCTTTAATTATATTCGAAGTTGTTTGTATGAGGTTGCTCATTTCGGGTAACGATGCTCTTTAGTTCAGCTGTAGTAAAGTCAGCGTAGTTGGCGTAAAACTTGGTATTTAGCAAGGCATAATAGTTGATATAAATAATAAATGTGGGTACAACTTTCGTTGTATATTTACGTGAGTACCTGCCGGCGACGGCCTTACCTCACGGTGTTCAAAAACACAACGTATCAATACAATGCGTTGATCAGCGCCCCAAACAATACGAGCTATTTGCAAGTATTTATTTGGATACCAGTGGCAGTGTGTCTGGGTCCACACTACCATCTTGGTGTGATTCGAGGCCGACCTAAAACCTCTTCCGTTTTCGGGTACGGCACCCAGTTACTTGTGTAACTTCTTTTTTCGAACTGAAAATTCAGTTCTTCCAGCATTTAGGTTTAAACCACAGCCACCACGATACTCCCCAAAGGGCCGAACCCAATGAGCAGATTGAACAGAAGTCCAAGGGCTTTCTGCTCCCCGTGGTACCGGAAAGTCTCCGGTCAGACTGCGTAGCCTAAACTACTGCCAGTTGAGCTCCCCATTACTCAAATGACTGGTGACATTTGTCGCTTGAACTTCAAATGTCTTTTTATTCGCTTTTTTCATTTAAAGTGTTTCTAATATCAGTTCAAGCTGAGTATTATAGCACTATCACTCCACATACTATGCTGATATTACTGTGCAAAGAATATAATAACAGTCATAGTGCATATTGGCTTTTAGTCGCCTTTTACGACAGGCATGCCTTGCCGCGGGCATATTCTATCCCCTGCCAGCAGGGGTAAAATGTGGGTACAGTAGAGTCGTAAGGCTAAGGTTAGATTTTTACATTTTTAGTGCAAACCTACTCAAACGTTGTAGGGCTAAAAGAGTCGATCGACGCCGAGTTGATAACCGTGTGAATTTATTCTGGTTTTTCTGGCTATAATAGTTTAGGAGATCCCAAAAAGGGACAGAAATTCAATTGAGAATCAGATGGAATAATTTAGCAAAGGCAAGTCAGACCACCAGAAAACTTCTCCAAAAATAGTCAAATTGATATGTCTCATTGACTTGTCTGAGAAATTTTTCTCGATTTCACAATATTAACACAGATATTGGTGAATCGCCACTCGCCGCCAATTACAAGATTTGTCAGTCATCTGTGTTGTCAAATAATTTTCTGGACATAATCTTTTGATAATTCTTTAGCAATTTATTTGTTACACTGGACGCACTATAAAGGATTGGAATCTATCCATTCTGTCAGAAATCGCTCGGAGGCGAAACCTGAGAGAATTCAGGCTGGTACAGTCTTCCTAAATATTGGATTTTAATGGTTCAAGTGTTTATTCAAAGTATTGACGCGTTAGACTACTTGATAGTTCTTGAAATTGCTAGAAGAATCATCCAGCAGGCGGTTGTAGTGCTGAAAAAGGACTTTTAGGACTTGTGATGAACTAAGTTGGAAACTAAAGACCTTACTGAAAACTTCCAGCCTCACGAAGCTCAGGCAGTTGAACCTGGACTTTACCCAGCAGGGGAGAAAAAGTTGTTTACAAGCTTTGCAAGTTCAAAGATTTCCCGGCTCTAGAAACTTTCATAATACAAAAGACTCAGCTGATACTGTCCTTTCTGCTTTAAAGCTTATCTGCTCTGACACTTTTTGCCGATCTGTAATGTTCCTTCTACCAGCGCAAAAGAAATTTTGACTTCTTTAAATTATTTTTATTCCGGAAACTCAAGAATTAAGGTAAAATTTAGCATATGCTTTGTGCTACGCAACTCGACAAGGAATTTTCTCACCAAACACGCTGTCAGCAAGACTGTCATTGTTAATTTATTGCATTATTATTAAGTGATAGCGAAATTGTAACGTTCTCCTCACCACGTAAAGGGGTAAAGCAGCAGCGCCAGTGGCTGACTAATTACTGCTGGCGCGTTAGTCAGGCCTTAGAAGTAGCGCCTGTTGTAAGCCGACTCTTTCACCTACGCAGAAATTGTTTTGCCAACGTGTACTTAAGCTTTAAGACGATAAACAACTGCGAGCGTGTCGCTAAATTTTCTTATAAAAGGCAGCAAAAAGTGCGTGTTGCCACTTCAAAGCGCAGTGCATACGAAAAGCCGTTACGTAATGACTTAAGTACTTTGCTAAAATTACTTAAGTCGTCTTAATTTTGTGTGTTTGCTTTGAAGTATTCCCCCAGTAGTGCAGCAGTGTCGGCATGTTAGCGAAAAAAGAGTGTGGCAAAAGCGCCGTAGACTTGCTTGGCGAGCTTTCACTGTTATTGGGTGGCGAAAATATTTTAAAACCAACAAATTAGGCAATTAATTTCAGCGATTTTTTGCGCGTTTTTATTATCGATTGTGTGCTGTGTGCTTTAAAGATTAAGCGGGCGCGTGGGTAGGATAGAGGGGCAAATGCACGGCTGCGCGAGTTCAACATGCAACACGCGTCATGTTGCTATTTCAAATCACCACACGCAATCTCATGCACATACACATCTGTAGACGCTCAC